GACACTAACAGAATCTATGGATGGAAGGCTTTTGAGCATCATGGTGAAGAAAGGTGGCTATATTGGTCACTGATTTGTTTTTGTGTCACAAATGTCACAAATGCTTATTTCTGAATCTTGAGCTGTTATATTGGTTTACCTGGTGAAAATAAACAAGTGAGATGGGTATATATTTGTTTTTTATTACGTTGCCTAATAATTCTGCACAGTAATATTTACCTGCACACACAGACATCCTCATAAAATGGCCAAATAAAAAAAAAACACATCAACTTCCAAAAATATGAAACTTTGATATTAAGGAGTCTTTTGGGTTGATTGAGAACACAATTGTGGCCCAATAATAGAAATAATCCTCAAAACGTAAATATCACATGATAAAAAACCTTAAACTTTTAAAATGCAGTCAGAAATTGCAAAATCTCAATTGGGTGTGATTTGCACTCTCACCACCAGATGGCAGAAAAGTGATTCCAGTACGATTGTATCTGAAGAGCATGAACAGCAACTAAGCTGCATTAAAATGAGAGGAAGTTGTGTAGAGGGGGAAAAATATACAAGACAGAACTAGCTACAGTTTGGATCACATTCTGTCAGTAAGAACTGAAAGATATCATAGACAATCGGTTATTATTAGGCTTTTTGTTGTGATGTGTGTGAAAACCAAACTGAAACACTAAGAAAGGATAAAATTATAGGGTCACCTTGGTGCTATAATAACAACAATATCTATTCACACATTCCTTCAAAAATATTCTATATCTCGATCAAGCAAAGGTGGCTGTACTGGAAATACCAAACAGAAAGTAAAAACAAAAAGGTTACAGTAAATACAAATTCATTTTAAAATAAATATGTTTCCAACTTCATTAATTTGATCAATCTCTTCAGAAGATGAGCGTAGCTGAGAAGGTTTTGAGTGAGCAAACAACTTCGTGGAGACCAAGGATCACAGCTGGCAGATCAGGGATACAGTTGTGGAGTCTAGATAAAGTTATCATAAATTACGTTGTAATTATGGTTCTGTGAATTCCTGGATGACTGCCAGTGGCAGTCAGCAAAGTGCATATGTCTCCTTGCGCTCTGTGCAGGTCGAGATAAAATGTAAACAAAGTCACTCATGTGACATCTAACTCATCTGGGCTTGCATCTAGGTCTAATTGCTTATGAATCAGAAGTGGAAGCAATTCATCAAACCAACAACATTATCTAATTACCTAAAAGTTAAACAGTATTTTTTTTACAGAATTACACATAGGCTGCCATGACTTATACTTATAAATCCTCCTCCTCTGTTGCAGTATTGAAGGATGTAATCAATTTAATACACACCAATCATCTCGTTGTCACGAGAAAATGGATTTCTAAAGAGAAAATTATCATCTCGTTATCCCAAAAAAAGGGATTTCGTTATGTTTAGATAATGAGCTCTCGGCTTCCGTACAAAATAAATGGACAGCATGTGAGTTAAATATGAGTGTCCCAGCTTATGACTATTTGATATTTCAGTTTTTCTTTTTTAATAAATTTGCAAAAAATTCTACAGTTCTGTTATTTTTTCTTTCTAGATGGGGTGCTGAGTGTACATCAGTGAGAAATAAAATTAACTTTTTGATTCTAGCAAATGGCTGCAATGAAACAAAGAGAGAAAAATTTAAAGGGGTTTAAATACTTTCAGTACCCACTATATAAAGATGTATTTAATCTAAGATACTTGAGTGGCACAACGTTCAATATTGATATAAATCTCCATTGTTACCGTTTCTGACCATTGCAAGTTTAAGGTTTTTAATGCTTGTGCAAAAGCTTAAAAGATAAACTTCAAATGTGAGCTTTTGTATTGAGTTTTTTCTCTGAGGACTGCACTTCATCTACAACTTCTACTTGTTTTATTTTAATATTTGCCCATTTGATCACCAGTGTCATCTGCTGTTTAAAATATAAACTGCAGTAAAATCTTTCACTTTAGTTGAGGGTATGATGATCAGAGGTAAGTTCTTAAAGTTGAAATTCTAGACTTTGAGTCTGCAAATTAAAAAAACACGTTCATAGGTTTAGATTCCAGTATTAGGCCCAAGCAACATTAAAACTGTAAAGGTTAACTGGAAATCAAATGTTTCTTATTCGGCTCTTAAAAAAAGGATGGATCAAAGCATTTGAAAGGCAAAAATATATATAAAATCAGCATCAGCAGTGCACTAAATCAATGTTTTTGGGCTAAAGGGCTTTAAGGCACTCTATACAAACCCATATTATTGTTGAGATTTGACCTGGTTTTGGACCAGGTCTTAGAGCAGGAGAGCTGTCCACTCTTTGTCAAGCAGGAGGTATGCTCAAGTTTTTAATGATAGTTGTTCATAAGTATTTCAGTACATAATACTAATATATCTCTTCTCTCTTTGACTTATTTCCCCACAGAAACAACATATGTCTGTCTCCTTGCAAGAAGAAAAGGCAGATCTACTGAAATCCCAGAGGCTGATAAACATTCCTGACCTTTAGAGTTAACTTCAACCTAAAGCAGATCAATTTAACACCTTGAAGCAGAAACAGAGCTGTTGTTCTCCTTCACCAAAAACTGACAGTTACCTTCAGCTATGAGATTTTGCTACAGAATTAATTTCAAAACTTTGATTTTCCTCATGCTCCTGCAGGGGGCAGCATTGTTGCTGTTCTGCAACTGGTACTACCAGCTTGGCTCAGCAGACTCTGCCCCTCCAGACCGTAAAGTTCACGTTTTGCTCCTTTCATCATGGCGATCTGGTTCATCCTTCATGGGTCAGGTGTTCAGTCAGCACCCTTCAGTTTTCTATCTCATGGAGCCTGCATGGCATGTTTGGAGCCAAATCAGAAAATCTGGTTCAAGGACTCTACGAATGGCTGTTAGGGATCTAATGCGGAGCTTGTACCAGTGTGACTTCTCTGTGATGGATGCCTACATGTCAGATAAGAGAAAAGCGTCCTCCTCCTTTTTTTTGTGGTACCAGAGTCGGGCTCTGTGCTCGCCTCCTCTCTGTGGCTTCACTCCATTTGGTCAGATAAGCAATACGGATCAGTGCCAAAAGGAATGTAATGGTCGACCTTTTGAGATGGTGGAGAAAGCCTGCAAAATCTACAGCCATGTGGTCTTCAAAGAGACTCGATTTTTTGAACTGGAATCCCTTCACCCTCTTCTTAAAGACCCCAACCTTGATCTTCGAATTATTCATCTTATCCGGGATCCTCGGGCTGTGTATCGGTCAAGAGAGCAGTCAGCCCTAGACCTCAAGATGGATAATGCCATCGTCTTGGAGCACAAAAACGTAACAGCAGCGGAGGAAAATTATGAAGTCATGCAAGAAATCTGCCGAAGCCACATCCGAATCAATCAAAGTGCCACCCAGAACCCTCCTCCGTTTCTAAGAGGTAGATACAAACTGGTCCGTTATGAAGACGTAACACGCAATCCGCTTCAGGAGGTCCAGGATATTTATGAATTTGTAGGTTTAGAGATGACTGATGAGATGGCAGCATGGATAAATAATATGACCCGGCCAAAGGGAAAAGTCAAGGTACAAAATGCTTTCCAGATTAACTCCAGAGATGCTGTTCAAGTATCCCAAGCTTGGCGCACAACGCTCCCCCACAACAAGGTCAAACGTGTTCAGGAGGTGTGTAAAGAGGCCATGTCATTGCTTCACTACAAGACAGTCGACAGTGAGAAAGAACAGAAAAGACTAGATATTGATCTGTACAGGCCAGGAAAGCCAAAAGGGTTTGCTTGGGCGCCTGCTAAACCCCCAGATAAAGGGAGCAAGTAAAACATATTAAGTCATAACAAGAACATATGAACATAGCAAAACACTGATGCTGTAATCAATTCTTTGACAAAAACACCTTTCTCTGTTCATTTCTTTAGATCTAAGTGATGAGTCAGAGAACAAATGTATTACATGACAGTTCTTTTTTTATTTGTATGACAGTATCGAAAAAAGTTAAATGAATGCAATAGCCGGGATACCAACATAGAAGATGAACTCGTCACAACAGAATCCATGCATGCACAGGTAGAACATGCAGAAAGACCCTGGGCCAGGAATTGAACCTTGAACCTTCTTGCTACAAGACAGCAGGGCTACAAAGCAAAATGACATTCCAATGTCTTTAAAAAATCCCAGCTGGATTATTGTAAGTCTCTTAACAGGCCCTATCACTCTATTCCCTCTTTATCTTGTTCAAAATGCAGCAATGGAACTTTAACAAGAAAAAATAAGCAATGACACATCACTGAGGTGATGACCTCATTCCACTGGCTCCTATCTATTTTGGGATTAATTAAGGATTTTTTATTTTTATTTCTTTTAAGTTCCTTATAGACCTTACACGTGTAAAATTCTTCACTCTGCTGTACACTAATCCCCATCTTATTCCCTCATGTAAGCTGACTAGATGCTATTGGTGGTTCCTAAATCTCAAATCGAATGGTAGTCTAGCGGTTTCTGTTGTGGCTCTAAAGCTCTGGAACCAGCATTTGACTGGAAATTTGAAAAATGTAAGTATGTTACCTTGCAGCAGGAAGGTCCCGGATTAACTCATGGCATAGGGTGTTTTTGCACAGAGTTTGCCTGTTTTCCCAATGTATGCATGGATTCCCTAGGCATACTCAGACCTGACCCGACAGTCCAACAACATGACTATTAGGTCAAACTGTGACTCTAAATTGGCCTTAGGTCTGAGTGTGTTTGTGCATAGTTGTATGCCTATGTGTTGCCCTGCGATGGACTGGTGACCTGTCAAGGGTGTACCCTGCCTTTGCCAATAGACTGCTGGTTATTCGTATCATCCATCCATCCATCCATCCATCCATCCATCCATCCATAGGTTTGTGATTTAATTGTCTCATGGCGATTCCGTATCTCTTAGATATTTTAAGCACGACCGCTAACAGGGGAGGACAAATAGGTCAATTGTCCCAGGCCCAGGACAGAGGGGGGCCCAAAATTGACACTTTGACCATTTGAAATACAGGCAGAGGTAATTTTTCAGAAAACATTCTTATGAAAATATTTATTATTACAGTAAATAAATATTCATATATATCTGCATTAGGTATATGTAATATGTTATCTTTAAATAAGGGGCCGTTAGAACTCCCCCCACCCAACATAATATGGTTTGACCAGGGTAACGGTGGGCTGCAACTTTTAAAGTTGTTTCGCTGAAAATTAAAAATGTCAGGTTTTCAGGAGTCCAATGCACAGAAAAAAGAGAAAAAGTGAGAATTGACATCAAAGGCTTGAGGGATTTTATGCTTAAATTAAAAAAGGAACCGGATGGACGAGTCAGGAACAGGTACAGGAACAGAAATGCAGAAGAATGATGCCCATTCAGAGCCAAGAAAGAAGCAATGCGTATATCAATGTGATTTTAAAGTTTAGCATCCACTAGCTAGTGTGTGGGAGGAAAAACACCTTTTCTTTAACAGAAATACTTGAGCTTGAGCTTAGCCCCAAAAGAGCAGAAAAATGGCAGAAGACTGCCCGGGCCCTAGCAAAGCTGCAAGCTGGCCTGATTTTAAGTCTCCAGTCTCTACTTTTATAGAGGTTATTTTATTTTTTTTCCAGTTGTGTCAAAAATAAGCAGATGTAAAATGTCTAGATGTTGTGCTGTTGTTGCATATGTGTTTTCTGCATATGTCTCAGTTGCACATGTATTTGTTGCATATGTAGATGCTGCATATGTAGATTCTGCATATGTCTATGTTGCATACGTAGATGCTGCATATGTCTATAATGCATATGTCTATGTTGCATACGTAGATGCTGCATATTTAGATTCAGCATATGTCTATGTTGCATATGTAGATGCTGCATATGTAGATTCGGCATATGTCTATGTTGCATATGTAGATGCTGCATATGTAGATTTTGCATATGTAGATGTTGCATATGTAGATGCTGCATATGTAGATTCTGCATATGTCTATGTTGCATATGTAGATGCTGCATATGTAGATTTTGCATATGTAGTTGATGCATATGTAGATGCTGCATATGTCGACGGGATAACAATGGGGGGTGGGAAGAGATAGGTAAATTTATAAGCTTAAAACTTTAAAATAACCCCAAGGGACCCCGCCTCTGTCCTGTGAATAAATGTGTGCTCACATTGGCAGAACTGAAAGTGCTTTAGATGGTATCTAGTGTCTGGATCACCAGGGTTTTCAATCGCCGCTCATCCAACCGAACAATTTTTCCGACACTAGGGGGCATAATAGGCCAATGGACGGTAATACATATCCTTGATGATTTTTCTTAATAAACTCTTATATATTGAATGGAAGTTTTGGTGAATTTATTCCAGCTCTGTGCATAATTATCTGTTTAACCATGATTTCTACTCGAATCACTCTTTCATTTATTGTTTCCCCTAACGGGGTGGGCAATAAGCACCTTAAAGTATCACAATATTATTGAGGCCTATTATTTGAGTTAACCCTTTTTATGAATTATGGGTGGCATTTTGATCATTTTAAATGTCCTCCAAGGATATGTATTATCAGCGTCCATTGGCCTATTACGCCCCCTAGTGTCGGAAAAAGTGTTCGGTTGGATGAGCCGCGATTGAAAACCCCGGTGATCCAGACACTAGATACCCTATAAAGTAAAGCACTTTGAATTCTGCCAATGTGAACACACATTTATTCACAGGATAGATGCAGGGTCCCTTGGGGTTATTTCAAAGTTTTAAGCCTATAAATTTACCTATCTCTAGACATATGCAACAAATACATGTGCAACTTAGACATATGCAGATAACACATATGCAACAACAGCACAACATCTAGACATTTTACATTTGCTTATTTTTGACACAAATAGAACCTCATAGAGGACTGCACTCTTTCTAATTGTTTTTTAAATATTTTTTTTTACAGACTCAGACTTACAGTTTGGTAGAATTAAATTTACCTTTGTATAAAATGTTTTTCTCATATCTCAGTGTATTTTTTGTGTCCTGTTTTAACTTAATAAAAGGAATCATCACTGAATGAGTTTTTACTGTTGCCTTATTGTTTGTAAAGTTTACTTCTCAGCAACAGTTTGAAAGTGTTTGGCATATCTTTTGTTTTTAAGTATTTTTTATTTATTTCTTTAGGATTTTTTTTTATTTCATGCCTTCCGTGTCTTTCATACTTTTCACTTTTAACTGGCCGCATTTCCAAAAGAATGTGGCACACCTACACAGTTACGTTGGTCACAGCAGTGCTCTATATGTGTGAGTAGTTTTCCATTACTCCATGTTTTTAAATGCATCACTGACTTGTCATGTTCGGATTAATGTGTCTAACCCACATGCAGAACACTCGGAGGCAGAAGAAAAGTTCAAAGATTTATTTACAATAAATGTACAAAATTTGATCTGACCAAAGTGGGGACTTGACTGGTCACGAGGGGGTTCAATAAATGTGCACAGTTTGATCAGATCCAAGAGGGGGCTCTACTGGTCACGAGTGGGTTCACTGCTGAGGAGGACAGAGAGATTAGTGGAGGTCCAGGTATTTTGGAGGTTGAGAGTGTTCAGGTCAGTACCTGTTCTGGAGTGGAGCAGAGCTGCAGAAAGGGGGAACCTCTTTTAAAATTAATTTGCTGTCGATATCTTCTAGAACAGACCTAATAGCAGAATCTACTCACCTAAACTCTCCAGCGGCAGCCATTGTTGTTGTCACTTATGGGCGCTTTGGTCACGTGGTTGGTTACGTTACTGTTGATCATCTGTCCATCATCGTATAAAGCTTGCCCTGACAATTTGATTGGATCGCCAGAGAGTGGGCGATCATACTCACACTACTATGGAGCAATGCCAGACCGAACTTCCCGACCTCAAACGTTGTGGGCGGGACTAAGTTCGGAATGGCACCCAGGCTAGACAAAACTGCCCACCCCAGAATCAGAAGAATCCACCTCCAAAATTAACTGCTTGGAGGGGTCCGGTTGGATGAGGATGGGTGCATTAGAAAACAGAGCTTTGAGTTTCTTAAAGGCAGCCTCAGCCTCCGCAGACCAGTGAAAAGTTTTTTTAACAGAAGTTAATGCAGTCAGAGGCTGAGCTGTCTGGCTGTAATTGCGAATGGACCTCCGGTAAAAATGTGCAAACCCCAGAAATCTTTGTAATTGTCTTCGGTTCTCGGGAGTGGGCCAGTCCAGAACTGGCTTGATCTTATCCTCTGACGGCTTCACCTGCCCGCCCTCGAGCACAAAACCTAGGAAGGTGACAGATGGACGATGTAACTCACATCTTTCTGCTTTAACAAACAGTTTGTTTTCAAGAAGTCTTTGTAGAACCAAACAGACGTGCTTTTTATGTTCAGAAATGTTCTTGGAGTAGATCAGAATGTCATCAATATGGATAAAAACAAATATGTTCAAAAAATCTCTCAAAACATTGTTAACCAGGGCCTGAAAGCAAGCAGGGGTGTTGGTAAGACCAAAAGGCATTACAAGATACTCAAATTGACCTAGAGGAGTCTTGAATGCAGTCTTCCATTCATCTCCCTCTCTGATTCTGAGGAGATGATATGCATTTCTCAAGTCCAACTTAGTAAACACAGTTGCTCCTTGGACGGGTTCAAAGGCTGATGCTAACAAGGGTAACGGGTATTTGTTCTTGACAGTAATTTGGTTTAATCCTCTGTAATCGATACAGGGTCGCAGAGATCCATCCTTCTTGCCAACAAAGAAGAAACCGGCCCCGAGAGGAGATGAGGAAGGTCGAATGATACCGGCAGCTAAGGACTCATTAATATAATTCTCCATAGTCTCCCTCTCGGGTTTGGAGATATTATAGAGCCGACTGTTAGGGAGGGGGGCCCCCGGGAGAAGATCGATTGCACAGTCGTAAGGTCTATGCGGGGGGAGAGAAAGTGCACTAACCTTGCTGAACACTGGTGCCAGGTTATGGTAGTCAGGAGGTACTATGGAAAGATCTGGCAGGTCAGCCTCCTGACGACTGGCCGGAGACTGAGTCGAAGGTGCGGCAGAGCGGAGACAGGTACAATGGCAGGATGCAGACCAGGACTCAACATGTCTTTTTGACCAGTTTATGTGTGGGTTATGGTGTTGAAGCCACTCAAAATCAAGGACAATGGAAGAGCTAGCTGATGGGAATAAAAAAAATGAAATAGTCTCTCTGTGGTTACCAGAGATCAGAAGTTCTAGCGGCTTGGTTTGGTGCGTGACCTGAGGTAATTGTAAACCGTCGAGGGCCGAAACTCTCAGTGGCTTGGTTAATGGGGTGGTTTCAATATTTAATTGTTTGACCAAACTGGAGTCTATCAGATTCTTCTCACAGCCTGAGTCTATCAATGCTGATAAAGTGAGGGATTGACTTTTGAAGAACAGAGTAGCAGGAAACAGAAGACGAGGAGATTTCTCAGTTTGAAAATGGTCCGCCAGACTCCTCATTTCCTCTGGCGGACCCCGGCTTTTACCTTAGCTGGACAGGTTGAGACAAAGTGTCCAGGTTCTCCACAGTACATACATAGGTTCTCTTTAAACCTCCTTTGCCTCTCTTCGGATGAGAGCCTGGTTTGGCCGATCTGCATTGGCTCAACTTCTGAGGGTACTGTGGGAGGAGAGAAGTAATGAGTCTTAGTAACAGGAACAGAAACAGGTAGATAACGGTTCTTAGATCTGGACTCAACTTCTGAGGGAATTGAAGAAGAAGACACGTCATTATTCTTAGCAACAGGAGCGGAAACAGAAAAGACATGGCCTCTAGATCTGGACTTGGGTCTGGCTCGCAGTCTGTTATCTAAACAGATTGTTAACTTAATTAGTTCCTCCAAAGTCGTAGGTTCATCGAGAGTGGCCAGCTCGTCCTTAATAGAATAATCAAGGGCGTGAAAATAAGCGCTTTTGAGCGCTGATTCGTTCCAACCGGAAGCAGCCGCTTTAACCCGGAAGTCGATAGAGAATTCAGCCACAGTTCTATTGCCTTGCTTGATTTCCAAGAGTCCGCAAGATTCAGAGGACTTATCAGTGTCTTGATTGAAGACTTGTTTAAATTTCTGAATGAATTCCACAAAAGTACAACCAAAACTAGTTTCAGAAGAAAAACTAGCTTCCGCCCATTCTAAGGCTTTTCCGGACAATTGTGACAAAATAAAGGGGATTTTCCTCTTGTCATTTGGAAAACTCGACTGAGAATGTTCAAAAATGAGCTGACACTGGAACAAAAATCCCTTGCACTTACTTGGATCGCCGAAAATTTTTTAAGGAAGTGAAGGGCGGAATTCAGGAAACGACGGGCTGGGTTCTGACCTGAGTGGTGGATTAGTGTCTTGTACCGGAAGTTGAACGGTCTCCGTTCCAGGTGTAGAGTTCTGAAGATGACCGGCTATTTCCTGTAAGGAGCGATTAGTTTCTGCTTGACGTGTATTTAACTCACGGAGGCCGGTGTCGTGGCTCTGAATGAGGGTTTGTTGCTGCTCCAACATCCTCCGAAGTGATTCCGCGGGGCTAGTCTGTTGGCCAGAGTGTTAAAACTACCTGCTGGCCAGCTTGACTCCACCTTCCTCTTCCCACATGTTGATGTACGTGCACATCAATGGAGAATATCTGTGTGGTTGTGAATATCCTAAGGGCATGTGGCTATAATGATCACTTTAAGTGGTCAGAATGACAAACTATGATTAACACTTTTTTTTAGTGTCCATGTCACACTACAAGTGGAGTAGCTCTAAAACTACAACACCTAGACGCATCTAACCTGAAACTTAAAAAAGACATATATAACGAACCCCTCTTGCTCTAACATTCATTTTTTTTATTTTATTATTGATTTAGATTCCACTTTAATTTGTTTTTTTTTTTATCTTTAGTGTATCATCATTTGGTCTTGCAATAGTTTCATCTCAAATGCGTCACCTGATATCATGCTTCCAACAGTTTATTGTTCTCTTTCTTTTGGTATTTACTTTTACTCTTTTTTGACACAGAAAGTACTTCTGTATAAGTACTTCCTTTAAGTGTTGCATATTTGCTTAAACCCCCAGTTGGTGGTGATAGATGGCTGCTGACACTGAGCCAGGTTTTGTGGGAAGTTCGCTCTATTTCGTCCCTACAAGCCTTCTTGTGTAAAAGGTTTGATGGAAAAGCTGAATACAAATGCTTATTGTCCACTGTGGCTCCATGTTGAAGAAAGAGTGAATGCTGCATGTCAACTTAGGGATGCTATCTGCTTGTTGGGATCTGGAGTTTTCTGCCATCTGTCTCCAGCAGAGAGCGCCCTAGGGTCTCCTGATCAGGAGCTTCAGTCACACCTGAAGATCATCAGCCGATCAGGAGACCAGCTACTTAAGCAGCAGCCAGACGTGTCTTCAGCGCCAGAGTGTTGCCAAGTTATGGTTAGCAGAACCTGAGCCAAGCCTGCTAGTCTGATTCTACGTGCCTCTGAACATTGCTGTGTTCTAATCTATTGATGTGCTCTTTGTTTCCTAGACCTGTCCGCCTGCCCTCACGAGCCAAACCTGAAGACACACTTCTGGATCTGTATTCTGTTCTCAGGAGTGAACCATGGCAAACCCTCAAGGTCTGTGAAACAAACTCTAGTCTGAAGACAAACGCTGCTGCTAAAAGCCTCTGCTGGATCCACAAGCTCTGGACCCAATTGGTTCCCCCTCTCGTCTAATCAGTCTGAATACCTCCAGGTATTGAACCAACTTCAAACTAAGTCAAGAAACTCCAGACATCTGGCTAACCAAACTTTCCCTTCTCTACAGAGAACCCTCAAGAAGTCTGTCCCGGGCTTATACCAGAACTGTGTTTACATGTTTGTGCAACTCTGAATAAACCTTTGAACTTTTTACCCCTGTGTCCGTGGTGTGTTCTGCATGTGGGTTAAGTCTGTGAAGCCCATCATGACACTGCTGGGTTAACTCAGATAAAAAAAAATGCACGGAACGGGTTTATACAATAATCTGAACTTTACTGTCTTTTTGATTGATACTATCAATTCAAATATTATTGGGTTTAATTGACTTTTTTTCAAATGCTTTGACATGTGTTTTAATTTTGTACTATTTTAATAAAGATCGAATAAATGAGAAATGTTGGTGTTAATACAGACATACATGTCTTATATCTTTCTTGTACATTCTAATAATTTTAACAAGGTTCTTTTTGGGAACACTGTTGTTTGATGTCTTTAAAGGGTCTGTAAAAAAACATTTTTAAATGATGAAGTATTTAGCAGGATTAGGCTTCAGTCATGTTAAGATCTTTGTTGGGGTTTTCCCTTTCAAAAGAAAATCATATATGGCAAACATGGCTTAAACTGAGAGATACAGGTGAATTCAGAATGTCACTTTACTGTATAGCTTAAGTATTTATCTCCTGAAATTTTTTTTTTCAGACTGTGAACAGTTAGAAATTCATCCTAAATACCCTCTTACTATGGAGACGATGTGACGAGTGAATTTCTCCACTGTGAGATCATTAAAGTCTATCCTATCGTATCTTACCCTCTCTCAATATTTCTTTAAGATTTTGCACGACATAACAATCCATTACTTTAGGAAGTCACTTGTATCTGTTGTGGATATGAATAGCTGAAGTAATCAGACTTTTTCTTACTGTTATTTGAGTAGTAAGATGTTACTGTTACAACAAATGCTTAATGTACTCAGAAAATGACACCCCTTTATCAAATTATTTCTTGATTTGTAAAAAAATAAATAAATCAATTGAGATAAAAAAAAAAAAAAAATTGACAATGTTGTTCCACCAAGTTTAAAATATTTCTATTACATGTCTTAAGCCAATTTAGTAGTCAGTTGGTTTGTGGAAACATGAAACCTGCTTCCTCTATCAATTGAGCAGATGGTAGGAATTTGAGCAACACAAAAACTTGGACAATAGGCCTCGTCTTTGCCCCAAGGACAACGCTGGGGAACAATAGTCTGGAGAAGTGGGGGGAAGAAGGAGGAAAGAAGAATACAAAAGGAGAAAATTGCTAAATTAGTTTGAATCCTGCTTGGGACATGCATCAATTCATGCAAACTTTAACAAACTGCTGCAAATCTATCAAATATAGCTTTAAAACCGATACAAATACAATTATCAAGTATAATAATACAATTTGAGAATGTATTACAATTCCCAGGCCTGGTTTTAATTATTTTACAAGTAGTTTAGAATAATCTTGTCAGGATTTGGTTTAAGGGTTTTTGATTGGACCCAAAAGCAGAAGCTGAGAGGCAGAGGTGAGTTCTTGTAGGGTTTAATGAGAGATCACGCTAACAAAAAGCAGGTATCCAAAAACCCAACTTAAAAATATTAAACAAAAACAGGAATCCAAAAATCCAACATAAAAATCAAACACTAACCAGAACCATGGAGACATCAGGGGAAAACCATCAAGGAGCCAGGGTGAGGAAAGGTAAGACAAGGAACCAGTAAAGAGGGACTGCAGAGGGAGTGTATTTATGGCTGACTGAACAAAGGTAGAGCTAATGAGCTGATAGGGAACAGGTGTGATTAGAGCTGACGAGGAAGCCAAGGGAAAAGAACACAAGGAGGCAGCAGAGGACAGACAGAAAAACCTAAGCAACTTAAATGAATCCAGAAACACCAAAAAAGCTAGAAAACAATGAAAAACCTGGCTAAACTTGAAACAGAAAACTTAAAGAAAAACAACAGAACCAAGATCTATAAAATCTAGTCCAGGTTAGATGTGTCTAAGTGTTGTAGTTTTTTAATTAGAGTGGATAAAAGATGCTGAAGGTTGGGAAAATTAAAGTGGAATCGCCCTTTACTCATTTCCTGAACCAGAAGCTGCAATCGGAAGCAAACTTCAGCTTCGTGGAAGAAATGAGGTCCAGGATCAATATGCGCCGCATCAGCCTCCTCCTCCGCCTTCGTTCCACACCCCTTGGGTCCAGAAATGATAAGAGATGTCTCACTGTATTCTGAGTCCCAGCATATCCATGTTGAACACATTTAAGGTGGTGAAACGTATATCCGTGCAGGCTTCCGTATCTCTCCAGCTGGTCAACGAGGAAGGCCTCCGCATCTAGAGGATCTTTTCTTCCATAGAGTCCCATTCTGTGGAGGATTCTTCTCAATGTGTTCATGCTAATACTGATCTCCTCCAGTGTGCAGCAGAGTCAGGATCTCTCCTGTCTTAGACCAACAATAAAGTAAAACTTGATCAACTCCAGTAAACTCGCCTCTGTGCTGCAGACTAGAAGACATGCAGAGTGAATTATCACGTTTATACAATATAACTATCACGTTTATACAATATAACTATCACGTTTATACAATATAACTATCACATTTATACAATATAACTATCACGTTTATACAATATAACTATCACATTTATACAATATAATTATCACGTTTATACAATATAACTATCACGTTTATAAAATATAATTATCACGTTTATACAATATAACTATCACGTTTATACAATATAATGAGCAAAAAATTATTTTTTTCAAGTGACAGCAATACGCTTCCATAGTTAACTATAAAAGGGTAGGGAAAAAGTAACTGGCCCTAGCTCAATTACTTAGAATGGATAACAAATGCAGCAATATGGAAAAATAAAAAGGTTTTACATCAAAATTGTAAATCAGACAAAAAAATAATGAAGAGATGTTTAATGTTCATATCTAATCTGTAAATCATGCGCACAATGTTCATTTGTTGAGCTGTGAAGATTTATTGGAATAATTCTTTGTAGTCTGTCTGAATTTAAGTCAAGGCTTCAATGATGTTTATTTATTTTCATTTAGTAAATCATAACAAAAAAGTATATAGTTCAGCTGAACTTAAGTTTCAGCTCGGTTTGAAGTGCATTGTTAAAAACAAACAGGTCAGAACAAAGGCTTGCCTCTAGGTGATACAGCATCTTTGCTCCTGCGTTGACTTCCTGCACGCATCAGCAGATATCTGAGCTCTTACACACAAAGAGAGTGTTTTGGTAACACTGAAACAATGCCAACCATTTATAGCATCAGAATTCTTCCCTTATCTCCCATGCTAACCGGTCTTCCAGCTTTATTTAGGGTACTACTCTGTCCTCCGCAAAAAGAGAATGAAGGGAGTTGAACCGGATCATTAGAAGCTAGATAAAACCACACTAAAAAAAAGCCAAGCGTGATCAAAAACTGGATTTATTTTAGCAAATAATTAAAAAACAAACTAGTATATTAAAAGGAGCCCTTACAGGGAGAAAATGTCATTGGTATTTACTTGTTTAAATTGTTTTTATAGGTTAAGGTACACTTATCCAAATCCACTTTGTCGGACAACTTTAATAGAGATCGACAGAGAGACGTATCTTTTTCTGCACAAATGTGGGGAAAGTATTGCTGTTATAATGTCATCCTCAACCAACCTCTAATGGTTATATGTTTTGCCTGCAAGCCTTTCCCTAACACACTTTTTCCTTCCACCTAACATTTTAATAAAATTACTAACACTTTCTACATTTAGTTTTGTCCCCTGTGGAAAAAGTGTCATGTCAGCAGTCTTTTAATGTTTGTGTAGACCCAAAACACAATTTTTGTTTAAAAAAAATACTAACTCTGTTGCTCTAAGGTAAAACTCAAATTTCCCAAGAAACAGATTTTGGTTTTTGGGATTAGCCATCAGCGAGATAATGAAAAAGAACCAATGGAAACCTCTACAGTCGATCACCTTCCAATTTTGCCTTGACTGAGTGGATAATAGAACATTTTTTAAAATTTGAATTTGCTGAGATGCTCATTGGGGATTTTTTTATTGGAGGGAACAACTAAAAACTAAAGTTTGATATTGATATTTTCATCAAAGTTATAAGTACTTAGATATCCAAACTGCTCATTAGGTGCAAGGCTTATACTTTGATTGTACAGCAGTATAGCCTCCTAACTCTTAACTGTTTACTTTAGAGGATCAGCATCAGTCATTAAATCATTTTAATTTAATCACTCAAACATATAGATTAGCTGTGGGATGCTATTAGTTATGTGGAGTAAGTTCTTAAAGTGAAGGTGTTGATGAGATAGAGCTTCAAAGTATCAAAGCATGAAAAATATCAGCATTCATTTTAATTCTCACATGCAAGGAGAAATATGCAAAAAGAAATGAAATATACTGTTACAGTAAAACTAATGTACAGAATGTCTACTGTGACCAAACAGATGTGGGTGTAAAGCAATGTCTCTGTTATAAAAACATAATGTGGCACTAATAAATGTATGTAAGGAGTATTTTTATTTAATGTTTATTAATTTATAAGAACAGACTGACCCCATTTGGAATATTTACATCTTTTTCTGTTTCATTTTACCTGTTTGATCTCTAAATGCGTTTAATCAGCACTGGGTGAAAGATGTAGGGTGACATTTTTCCTGAGGTATAACTGCCTGGCAAATCACCAGCATGAGAACATAAGAAAATGAAGGAAATCTGGACCTTTGTATGAAGATATTTTAGGACTCTTTCTGCTTATTTTTATTATTTATGTTCTGATTTTCTCTGTTTCTGTTACAATTTTGATCAGTTTGGTTTTTATTTGTTTTTGCAGATGCACTG